CATTCGCGTAAAAGTTGCAAGTTTACGCGAAGTTAAGAAAAGTGTCAGATTATAGCTTACACATATACTCATCAGTATATCCGTATGAGACTAGGGTTTCGAGACTAGCAGTAAATCAGTGTAATGAGATGTATTCACCCTATTTCGTGTAAGATGATAAAGGACTGGTAGTAGAATTTTCACACAATGATATGAGTTGAGCTGACGTTTCCTTTGAATTTCACATAGCCTTGCTTTCACACAAGTTGTTCGAATCCCGCTGAGAGTGTTGATAAGACCAATGCGAGGTCGAAGCTGCAGTCCACTGTTGCCTGGATGAGAACAACATATTGGGGAAGCAAGGCTATGTGAAATTCAATGTGGGAAAATTCTACTGCCAGTCCTTCATCACCTTAGACGAAATAGGGTGAATACATCTCATTACTCATGAGTAGAAAATTAAATATATGAAGACTAAGATGTTGTGGCCTCTGTTATGGTCGCAGTCTCCTTGCGATTTATAGAAGTGTGTTGACCTCGTTGTCGCAACTTGGTCTTGTTGTCAGGGTGACTATGTAGAACGCACATAATTGTCATGTTTCCCAGCATCAGACAGTGGACTTGGTACATTCTCAAAACGTTTCGCCGGCCTCGTAGTCGGCATCATCGGTGAGCTTTGCCATTCTCCAAACCAAGCTACGAACTCGTCAAAGAGACAAGGAAAGTCAATCCTTCGACAACTGTTCTGCCGAAAACGGTTACTATATCACTCATCTTTCTGTCATTGTGTAAAGAGTAGATAGATAGACTTCACTTGTCTCTTTGACCAGTTCGTAGCTCCGTGCGGAGAATGGCAAAGCTCACTGATGATGCCGACTATGATGCCGGCGAAACGTCTAAGAATGTACCAATTCCACAGTCTGATGCTGGTAATTATGATAACTACTATTGCAGAGGACTTCGGTCAAGGTGCGTTCTACTAAGTCGCCCTGACAACAAGACCAAGTTGCGACAACGAGGTGAACCCACTTGTAAAAAATTAAAATGCACAGATATAGAAGAATTTGCAGATTTTTCTTTCAAATTGGTCAGTAACTTTCACTTGTGTGTGTGTGTGTGTGTGTGTG